GACACTCATTAGACTATACACCACCATAGTTGTCCCATCCTAGAATATGCCTCAATTGTTTGGGACCCTTCCTCACCTCTGTAGCATCCTCTATTGAGTCAGTTCAACACTTTGCCCTTCGTTTAGCCTCCAAATCTTGGTCCACAACCTTTTATCTCAGTTTAACCTTCACTCCCTCAGTCACCGCCGAACCAAGTCCAAGATAATATCTCTTTTTAAATTCAAAGTCTCAAAGAGAACCTGGCTTTTTGTCTATCCCACCCCCTAATCCTTGCTCCTCCCTCCACCTATTATCTCTGCTCCAACAAAAAAGGCAACTTTTCACTTATTTTTTTGTAAATCTTCCTCCCTCCACCACTCCTTCTTCCCTTCTACAATAAAACTCTGGAACTCTCTGCCCTCTTCTATCAAACTCTCCTCCTCTCTCTCCTATATAAAACTGTATGTTCATTGTAACTTGTCACTCCATTAAGAATTTAATTTCTTTATTATGTTGTCTATTAGCAAGAGTAGATAATAATTATCTACTCTTACTATTGTTAAAAAAATCATTATCAACAAAAATTTGATGGGGGGGGGGGTCCAAGCCCCCCCAAATACGCCCTGGGCCCTGACTATGAAATAGTAATATTCGTGGATGGCAACTTTGATAATACACCAAATCCCTTTTAAGAGATGCTTAGCAGCAATCACTATTTTCCTCTAACCAGATTTTGTAGCTTGAATAAGCTCCATGCCAACAAAAAGAATTAAGAAACCAGCTCGAGCAAATCTTACTGAAGCTTACTTGTAGCAAATAAGATTGATCTGTTGTCCAGGCACTTCTCCAGCAGAAAGAAGTTAAGAAAGCAGATATAAATCTTAAAGGTCTTTTTACTTGTGGTTGAATGACAGAATAAAAGCTTCAATTAGAAAAAAAGGCCTATAGCAGTACTGTGCTTAGCTATACAGTTAAATTATGTTTAAATTGCAGCTGAGATTCTTTGCTAATAATAAAGCAAGAAGAGCAAGCTATAAAATTGTCTTCCAATGGGCCATGCATGCAAGTCAGTGCATGCTTGTGCTCGCCCCTTTAATGTTTTACATTCGTAATATTCACAGCTACAGGTCACATATGTATATAGCCTATTATATATATATATATATATCTCATAATTATGACATCATCCTTTGATGTGGTCGGGTTTATATTTTTGTATATATACCTGCCATTCAGAAATGCTGTCATCATTATGAAATATATCCTATATAACATACTAAAACCGGTCTATATACAAAAGATATAGACCTTTGGTGGGTGTCCTTGGATGTGATATAGCCCTCGGGCTATATCACATCCTTGGACACCCACCTCAGGTCTATATTTTTGTATATAGACCTGTTTAGTATGATATATAATACACATGTGTGTGTGTGTGTATTATATATTTCCACGTCAAAAAGGAGCTTAGAACACGCTGTGCTGAAGTTATTGTTGTTTATTGGGCGAAGCCCACTCTGGTGAAAACTTTCTGTATGTATGTATGTATGTATGTACGTGCGTATGGGCATGACTGGGAGGTGTGGTCAGGAGGCTGAGCCCCTTAATGTTTTACATTCTTTCTAGCTAAAAACAAATTTCAGTTGTACAGAATGAATGAATGAATGACACACACAACAACTACCTATACCTCGCGTAGGCGAGGCCAACAAGACCTCCATTGAACCATAGATATTAGAGTAAATGAAAGGGATTGGAAACTACCGTTCCCGCCCGGTGATGCGGTTTTCGTCACCCCTGGTTACCGGGTTGGCAACGTCCGTGTTTATCTGCATTCCCCATCTCCTCCACATTAGTTGTTGTGCAGAAAGGATCTCGAAGGAATATTGTGCGACTATTAGATAGCGCTTGCTTATGATATATCTTCTGTTCCACATAGAAAGTTTAGGGCTACCTATAGCAGGGTTTTTGTTTCAATAGAGCTATTTTCCGACCAGTTATGGGTACACAAAGTCGGCATCTTTTCTGACACTTTTTCGCCTCTACAGCTTTCATGCTTTTGCTATTCTAGTGTTGCCTCATATCATTCCATAGGTAATTGAAAGTTCTTTTATATTCTGACAAGCTTTTTAGAGTTTAGCTACAAATGTCTTCATTAGAGGGAGAAAACAGCAATTTTATGGGCAAAAGCGCTATAACACTCAAAATATTAATTTAAAACTATCAGATAAATAATAATTAACAGTGCAAAACATTGAACTCCTTGATAGTCGAGTTTCTTTTTCATCAGAGCACTCTTCTTGGAGATATTCTAATTTTAATAGAAAAAATCAAGAATTTTGTGGTCAAAAAGTAACAAATCGCCTAGTCACTAGTCTAGTAGTCAGCAATTTTTTTGCTTAGCAACAATACAATCAAATGGGATTATTGCTACGCCCACGCGGAAGTTTCCAATTCCTTTCATTTACTCTAATATCTATGATTGAACTCCATTGCATTCAGCCTCCGGTTGTCCTCCAAGATGGCCGACAGGATATTAAAACTAGGTGAATGTAAACATTGAGGGGGCGAGCCATCAATTCACATTGTTTGATAAGAAGATTAAAATTATAATAAATCCAGCTCTTAGCCTGCATGCATATTCAGACCCCGGCCTCATGGCCGGGGTCTGAAGTCTGAACAGAGCAAACACACCAGTTAACACAACCAAAATAACCCAGTAAAAGAGATAAGGATGAACTATCCTGTCACCTTTAAAAAATGTGCCAAGCTAAACTTTTAATCAAGCTTCCATCAATTAACATCTTTTTGAAATAAAACTACTGAAATAAAATCAATCCAGCTCTTAACGTGCATGCATATTCAGACCCCATCCTCATAGTCCGGCGGGGTCTGAACAAAGCAAACCCACTATTTAACACCACTGACCAAAATGACCTAGTAAAGTGACAAGAATGAACTGTCCTAATACTTAGAGAAAAGTGACAAGCTAAACTTCTAATCAAGCTTCTCTCACAATTTTAATTCTGTCAATGAGAGGACTAATCTAGAGGAGTCTTAGATCAAACTGCTTTTAAGTTCTTCAGCCTTTAGAAATGCTTTAGACAGCCCCTCTCTCTTATCTAACTGTTAGAAACTCAATCTGAGTTTGTTACGTTAAAATTTCCGCCATCTTGCTCTTTTTGACCACACCCTCTAGATTAATTTTGCCCACGTGGTCCAAATTTATCAATAATAGTATACTAATTTAATTTTCGTAGTTTTCCGTTCACAAACAAGACGTAACGCAAATAGACCATAGATATTATACATCTATGAATATCTATGAATAGACCACCTAGACAGATTAGTGTGGGTCGAGTCTGCAGTGCTCGCGCCCCAATTATTCTGTGACGTCACTTGCAAAGATATTATGAATAATGGACCTTGTGCATCGAAGGTTCTAATTTCCCTTTTCCCCAGCAGTTTTCTTCTACCTGTGTTTTGCTCTGTATATCTTTTTGTAGCGCAAGAACTTGAACATGAGTTTAAATAGCTCTACTGGGGCGAATGATATCT